CGAAAAATTTCGAAGCACCGAAGGTGCGTTAAACGCTAGTTTTTGTTTATCGTAACGAAAGAGTGAATATTTACTGTAATTTGAATTTTCCCGTGCTCATTCAGTTAATTGATAATAAGGTTACAGCAAGCTTATGGATCTGGAAGCCCCGGTTGAAATAGGTCACAGGCCTCAATATAGTTATTTTTATACTTGCGAAGCGAGTGTATTAGTACGAACCTTCCTTTTTTACAACCTAAGTCGCAAATAGTTGTGCCAATTTTGAAAAAACTGTACAGCTTTTTCATAGCATGTGCTTTGACATTCGAATAGTAATAAGTTAACACAGTTGATGCAGTGATTTGGTTCAAACAACATAACAATGATGAAAACTCGATTTCAGAAATTTTCTAACTCAATACCTCTCGCAATTTTTGAAATGCATATATTATACATAATGGGGTTTTATGATTTACGATTTCATCTACGCAAAGTTGTGTGGATGCCTTCAGTTTGTTGTATTCCAAATTATTACTTGCAAAATTGTGTCTATTTGTCTTTGGTGCCACTTTTGGTGAATCGCATTGCAATTTAGTAGCAGATCTAGCGGCTTTATTTGTGACTAGTGATCGTTGGTAGTATTCGAGATATGACGTTTCATGTGATTTTTTCAAAAGTTTTCAGAAAACTTAAATTTTTATTAATCTTTAAAAATCTGAAATTCCCAACCCTGAAGTTAGGTCCTGTCAGAGTACTTTCACGGATTGCGAATCTTGCCTTCAAATATGACTGCTCAGTTCTTTGTAGTTATCGAGATTTGACGTTTTATGTGATTTTTTCAAAATTTTCAGAAAGTTTAAATTAATTATTTTTTTTAAATTTGAAATTCCAAACGCTATAGTTCGGTGTTGTCAGGGTACTCTAAAGAGTTGCAAATCCTGCTCCATGCGACTGCTAAACGCGACTGCTCAAATGCTTTTAGTTTCCGAGATGTGACGTTTTTTGATTTTTTCAAAGTTTCTCAAAGAACTTATCTACAAAGAAATTTAAAACTACTAACTTGATGAAGATACAACCTTATTGTCAGCCTACACCCAGGCGTGTCAAATCTTGCCTCTTAAAATGAATGCTCAAATCATTTTAGTTTCCGAGATAAGACGTTTTTTTTTTCAATTTTTTAAGGGAAACTTAGGTTTAAAAAATTCAAATTTTGGATTCCTAATCCTATAGTAGGGTGCTCTCAGTGGTTGCAAATCTGGCCTCGAAATTTCTCCAGAGGCCCATTATGTTTTCGACATGACGCTTTTAAAATGGGAATTTAAAAAATTTAAAAGTTCGAAATTACCAACCCTGTAATTGGGTGCAGTCAGAGTACACTAAAAGTTTGCAAATGTTGTTTCCAATATATGCGGTTTTTCATGAGTTATCGAAAAATTTCGAAGCACCGAAGGTGCGTTAAACGCTAGTTTTTGTTTATCTTAACGAAAGAGTGAATATTTACTGTAAATTGAATTTTCCCGTGCTCATTCAGTTAATTGATAATAAGGTTACAGCAAGCTTATGGATCTGGAAGCCCCGGTTGAAATAGGTCACAGGCCTCAATATAGTTATTTTTATACTTGCGAAGCGAGTGTATTAGTACGATCCTTCCTTTTTTACAACCTAAGTCGCAAATAGTTGTGGCAATTTTGAAAAAACTGTACAGCTTTTTCATAGCATGTGCTTTGACATTCGAATAGTAATAAGTTAACACAGTTGATGCAGTGATTTGGTTCAAACAACATAACAATGATGAAAACTCGATTTCAGAAATTTTCTAACTCAATACCTCTCGCAATTTTTTGAAATGCATATATTATACATAATGGGGTTTTATGATTTACGATTTCATCTACGCAAAGTTGTGTGGATGCCTTCAGTTTGTTGTATTCCAAATTATTACTTGCAAAATTGTGTCTATTTGTCTTTGGTGCCACTTTTGGTGAATCGCATTGCAATTTAGTAGCAGATCTAGCGGCTTTATTCGTGACTAGTGATCGTTGGTTTTTAAGCTTGCGTGGTTGAGTGGATAATGCTTGAGACTCGAAATCTCTTGATTGCAATTGGTCCCAGATTCGAATCCTAGACGTAGCCGAATTTTGCTATTTCGAGGCTTATTTCTAATTTTTCTTTTTTCATTTGATAGAGCTGCTTTTTGGTCGTGTTCTCGCAAGTGTTTGCAAAACACTGCTTCGCCTCTGTGTAAAAATTTAGTTAAGATTGTTATTGCTAATATCGTCACGTTTTTATTAAACAATTAAATGCATACGTCATCTAGAGCTGTTCATACGTCATCGAGAAATGCATTCTAGAGCTGTTTTCTAGAATCATGTGTAAAAATGAGCCTGCAGAATGAAACTATGAGACTTTCAAGTCTTCTGCTTTTCGAGGTACGGATGTTTTTTCTACACTTCCGTGAGCAGGTGTCTTCTAATCGGGAACTAAACACTACTTTTCAAGGAAACAACTTTTTTTACAAGAAATTGAGCTTTATTATTGAACACTAAGATTTAACAGAGTCGTTCCTAATTGACCTGGGGGTAACGCAGTTGCTTTTGCATTCTACGTTCTGGCTTCGAGTCTCGGCAGGACTTTGTTTTCTTTAGGTTGTTTGAAATAGAAGAAAATTTTAAGGTAAAAATTGAATAGCCGGAATTTTGTTTGTCTGCTCAAGATTTGTCGGCTTAGATACCGCAGCATGGATTTTTTTTGCATTGTAAGCTGGTATCAGGGTAGTTGAAAGTGTTGATCACTGTAGTTTCAGAAAGCTTTTTGTCAAGTCAATTTTTTTTGGCTCAACTGGTGTCTGTTTGAAGTTTGTCGGTTTTCGTTACGTTGCTTATTTAAAATTCAAAAAAATTGTCTTGCTTGACATGCGTGGTCAGAATTCCTGTTTGGTAAAAACAGATATTATAAAGATGTACGGGGTTGTGTTTTTTACTTCAATTTGTTTTTTGAGATGCTTTGGAAAATTTTTCTTTTGCAAAAATTATAGTTTTTCTCGGAAACTTCTCTACGGATTTTCAAAAAGGGTATCAACGGAAAGACTGTCTACTCGCCTTTGTGCCTGTATAATCATCGCCTAGTCTTTTTTCGCTTTGCCCCACTGTTTACAGTCTTCGCAAAAGTTTGAAACGCTACTCCCAAGTTTTTAAACAAATTTATTGGGCCTCGGAATAGTCGAACATTTGATTTTTTGATTGTTTTCTAAATCTTTTTGACCACCCTCCCGAATCTGAGACTTTGTGTTCAGTCTGGCAAACGAGTTTTAGGAAGTTCCCTTGCATATCTGGCTGCACCCATATTTTTTATACAAGAAGTTATAGCCCGTGCAAAAAAAAACTTTTTTTAATTTTTTTAACCGTTTTTGAATTTTTTTTTTGAAAAGTACTTTCCAAAATTCCCAAATTTTGAGCTAAATGGATAGAAAAATTTAAGGGAAGCTTCCCTGCATAAACGCTACACCAAAATTTTTTACACATAATTTTGGCCTTCGGAAAAGTCAATTTTTGGTTTCTTGCCCTTTGCAGCTAATTGACGTTTTCAGAAAACTGTTCCTCCAAATCCGAGTTTTTGCGTTCAACCGAATTAACCGGTTATGTGAATCTCTTCTGCATGAATCTCTACGCCTTAAAATTTTACACGAAAAGCTTTAGCTCTCAGAAAAGTCAAATTTTGGATTTATTGACCGTTTTATGGATTGTTTTCTCGATAATCGTTTTCTCGATAATCGATAATTTCTCGACTTTTCTCGATAATTGTCCTGCCAAAATTGATATCAACGGTTCAACCAAAACAGCAGAGTTTTGGACTCCTTCTTGCATAAAGTTCTCGAAAACTGCCCTGCCTTTACTTAGATTAAGTGTTCAGTCGAGAAACCCGGTTTTGGGAATCGGTGCTTACGAAACTGTTGACTTTTCCTAAAAACTACCCATATCAGATCTGGGATGCAGGGTTCAATCGAAAGAACCAGCTGCAAGAATTTTTCTTGTAGAAGCGGTGATAATTTTTTTAAGGAAAACGTTGTATCTGGGAAGATTCGAAGCTCAAACAAATTCACTCTCCTTACTTATTTAAGCCACGAAACAACTATGGATAGGTGCTTATTGGCCTCATATTGCGTCTTTCGACGAGTAGAAATTGTTTTTATGGGCGTGTGTGTTTTGAGGGTGAGGGGAAGTTAATAACTTTTAATTAGTCTTTAACAGTTTGAATTATTATAGGGATTTTTGTTGTTCTTTTTTTGGTTTAAGAGGTTTAGTCCTATGTAATATCGGCTCATTGGCCTCATTTTGCTTCATTTCACAGGCGAGTAAACTGTGTGTTTTGAAGGTGAGGGGGACTTTATAACTCGATTTAAAACTTTTTTTTCACTTTTTTTCAACTTGATAAGCTAGGCCTTACTTTATTGCCTAAGTGGCCACATGTTGCGTCGTTCGACGAATATTTTTTTTGTGCTTGTATATTTGTTTTGAGAGCAAGTGTGACGTAAAAGTTCGATTTGTTAAAATTTAATTTTCCCTTTTTTCGACTTGGTTGTACCGGCTTTATTATATCGGTTTAGTAGCCTCATATTGCGTCGTTCGACAAGCGAAAAAAATTTTTTGTGTGCTTGTGTGTGTTTTGAGAGTGACGGGTACTTAATAACTGTTAATAAGTTTAGTCCTGTGGAGTTTTTTTCGCCTTGACGGATTTCTGCTAAGGTATTTTCGGCTTCGTTACCGCTTGGTAATTTTTCTTCCGATACTAATTTCCTATTCTTTTGTCTTGGCATGTTTTTGTTTCAAAAATAGTCTTATTCAATTTGATAGATCTAGTTTTTTTGACAGTTTTGAAGTTTTCTTTAATTTTTTGACTAGCGGCTCTTTGTAGAAATGGTTCAATCGTTCGACGACCATGTGATAATCAATATTTATTGGGGAGTTTATTAGATCAGTTAACCACTACCAGAGGATCTAAAATGTGGGGTTGATTTTTTCAGACCGGATGATGAAGATCTAGATGACTTTTTGGGCTACTTCTTCCAAAGACCATCTCCGAACAAGTTTAGCTCGAGGTTTGCCAAGATTCGCCTCTCTGCTCAAATTTTCATTTTCCATGAGGTGAAAATGAAGTTTGAAGAGTTCGATAAGAACGAAGATTTGGAGCGTGTTTGCTTTGAAAAGGAGCTTGAAGGTGAGCATTTCGGATCAGATTCAGTAAAGTTTAACTCATGCTAGAGTAATTGTTTTACAAGCCAAAAATATAGTCATTTCCATTGACCTACTGTGTTGCAAGTTAGTGTAAAGCTAATGTGTTCAAAATCAGTTCTAGTTGGTATGGACATAAAATGCCTGCCCAAAAATTTGGTTCAGCTCAAGAATTTCTAAAAGATTTTTTTGGCTGAATGTATTAAAAATGGGTTGTTCACGAGTGCCGAAATTTCGGAATGAATAAAACAAAAAACGATCAAAACTATGAGGGAATTTCTTGCTCCTCTTGGACTTCAACTGGAGACATATATTTCGAATACACTTATTTCGTATGTTTTGGAGCATTGATTTTTTTATTCGCAAATTGATATCATCTTAAAAGTTTGGTTCTTTCCCATTACAGTCCCCCTCCAAAATTCTACCGGCTCCCCATTTGTCAGTTTTCAATTGGTTTTCAAACAATTAATGTTCTCTCATTAATTGTACTTAAACAAAAATGCGGTTTTGTTTTGTTAGTACTGAGCTAAGCGCTGCATCGAGTTACGAGAAGAAGAAGATTCATTTCTCAAGAGTTATAAATACACATTAGTAAAAATATACACAATTCACAACTCTGAGAGCACAGCCTACGAACCCATTTGGATTTCAGATGACTGCCCCATAGCACGAATATGTTCATAAGACAATGATAATAACATAAATTAGAGTGAAAAAGTTACAATAGAATAGAAGCAAATTGCTTGCAATAAATTGAACAGTTTGGATCCCCGATACTTCTGCATCTTCGTTAGAGCAAAGGGTTTTTTCAACAGGCCTTTTTTAAATGTTCAGGTATTTGGAATATATGAATTGTTTTTGAATAGATTATTTATTTCTTGTAGGCATGCTTGCGAGCGATCGGAATAAGATCTTCAATAATTGGTAAATATACAGCTCGTGGACATTTAAAATTTTGGCACGTTTTAAGAGGGTGCAAACAGTCGATTTTTCAAAAAGTAAAAATTTCCAATTCTTTTTATTTGCATGTTTAGAATGAGTAGAAGTGAATTGTAACTAGTACCACCATATATCAAAACACTGTATTGGATAATTGATTGAATATTCGAGTCGTAGTATCGTAATAAAACAATCGTGAGGACATAATGCCTAAGTTTAGATTTGATTCCGCATTGTTTACGCAGTTTAATATGCACAGTTTCAATGTGCTTTCTGAAAGTGGGACAAGAATCTAGATTTATACCGAGATATTTGGATGAAGTCTGTTCAACGATTTTCCAATTATCAAAAAAAAAGGTTTAAATTAGAAGCGCTTTTGTTTGATTCAGTAACTTGTACAGTTTTTTTGAAATTTAAAGTGAGCTTGTTTGCTTTTAACCGTTTCGACTCCTTTGCTAATCCTCATTCATTTTTCCGATGTAACAGATTTTTCCCGTTATGTTAGTATCGTCAGCAAACAAAACTACTTACAGCTTTTGCAGACTTGGTAAATCATTATTATATATATTTAAGAAACAATAAAGGACCGAGTTTTGATCCTTGCGGGACACCACAATTGGTTTTTTCCATGATGAATGTATGCCATTCCTTTCAACGCGTTGAATTTGGTTTGATAAGAAAATTTTCATCCATTGAAGACATGGTCCATTCAGTCCATAACACTCCAATTTTTTAATTAAGATAGAATGATTTAAAATATCTACTATCTTTTTTACATCAGGGAAAACAGTTGGTACCTCATTTATACCCTATGTTGCACGAATGTATTCCGTGAATTCAGCTATTTCGTCAGCTGCATAATGTTTTAATCAATAACCAAACTGTTTGCAATAAAACAAATTATTAACCTCCATATTATTATATATTCTTCTGAACATGCATTTTCCAAAATGTTGCTCCAACAATTTATTAAGAAAAAGGTCTTTAATTTCCCATATTTAGTTCTTATCCTTCCTTGAAAAGTGGCAGAACTTTAGCATGGCTTAAACGTTTTGGAAAAAATCCCGTTTTCCATTGATGAGTTTATTAATTGGTTAGATGGGGAAGCACTTGGTCGCATGATAATTTTTTTTTATGTTACTAATATCATCAATCCCAGTAGAGGGTTTATTTTTAAACTCTTTGATGATAGTAAGAACTTCTTCTTCAATGCATGGATAAATGTGTATTGAGAAGTACGATTCTATTCTTAAATCATTTGATGTTTGAGGGATAGCTGAATCTAGGGTTTTCGAGAATGAATAAAGAAACCGTTTCTGTCATTCAACTCACTAATTAAGCTTTCATTTGATGATTTTCGTTTAATGCTATCTCAGACTTTGTATATTTGCCGTGAGTCACCAATAGTTTTCAAGTTTTCTAAAGTAATACAATGAAGTGGATTTCTTAAGCTCACTCTCAACTTTACACTTCTCAATTTTGAATCGCTCTAAAGCACTCCGATTAGACTTGTTCAAAACTCAAGATTGATGGAGTCTAATTCTTTTGGAGATCAATAAGTAAAACAAGCCGAAATTGTTTACAAATAGTCTCATTAATATGATCTTTTTTTGTTGTAACTGGGGCGTAATTGTCAGTGACTTTTGTAAACGTGTCTTTGCACTTATCAAAACAATCATCTGTGTTTTTCAGATTGTAATTCAGCATCTGCAATTCTTGCCGGAGCTCTCTTTTGAACAATTCTGTTTGCTTTTTACTTTTGGTGAAAGAAATGTCTCTAGCTAATAAATCTCTCAGGTTACAATTGAAGACTTGTAATTCGACTGGCATATGATCAGAAAAAACCTTGATTTTTCAGCAAATGAACCCCGTGCTGGTCTATATCATTTGTAAAAAAAATGATCTATGCAATTTTCCGAAATTTCATTAATTCGCGTTGCTTCATGACTAAGAACATAGAAGCCATTTCAAATCACTGCATCTAAATATTTTGATTTTGCTAAATTTTCTGAGTAAATCGATATTGACGTCACCGCAGACAATAAGTGGCAGTTTTTGAGATACCAGTTGTTCCAGAAGATTATCACATTCCGCGATGAAATACACTTTGTCTGTTCTAGAAGGGTTATAGATCAATTCTATAGTATAGGTTGTTGTTAGTACACTTACTTGTATAATTATCGATTCGGGTAAGAAACAATCGGTTTCTTTATTAACTTCACAGCTTTTATCACATTGGATCAGAACGCGTTCTCCTTTCATACCAGACCTGCATTTTGAGATGAAGGATTCGAAACCGTCAACTTTGATGCAGATAGGGTCGTCTAAATCATTCAACCAGGTCTCGCTTATTGCTATTGTTTTTGGTGCTGACTCAAAGCTGCTTATAAGAGCTTCTAGTTCATCGTGATGTTTTATAATAGATCTTGCATTTATATGGAGTAGTTTTCAGAAATTATAATTTTAAAGTTTTAGCACCATTAGCTCTTGATTTTCAGGTGCTATAAAAACAGCTCTCAACGTCTAGAGGTAGTATTATGAGGCAATGCTGCCTTCGTAGAGACCTCGTATGCAATGTAAGCTGTCGCTATTCTTGTATTTGTAAATGTTGATCCTTCACGTGGCCAAGCTGAATCAAGCATATCATCTTTCTTCATCATAATAAGAAATTAGGTGCCGTTAGGTCTTCGAATGTTTTAATATCTTTCATTGCTGTAGATTGCATGAGTTATTTCTTGTTCTTTAGCATGTTCACTTTTCCGACTCTCCTTGAAAAATGCACAATCTTTGTTCGAGTTTGTTTTTTTTCTGGTGGGTAATCGATGCGCAATAGAAATACCACCTTCTGTTACTTTGGCGTCAATATTGGTAGCTACTTTAATCACTCTAGCTATACTTTCATTGTTGTCTTCAATTATTTGACGTCCATTTGTGTCCAAGCCACGGTTTTCAGGTATTCCAATGATTTTCAGATTGTCTCTGCGATTGTAGCCCTCCACTAACTCTTCCTCACTTCGAGCTTTCATGTCGCTTTACTTCCTGGGTTATAGATTGTGTTTGGGTTCGAGAATCTGCGTTTTCAATGTTTGGATTTCGCGGGATATGATCTCTTGAACAGTTTAAGTAATTTTTACGTTGACATCTAGCATAGTGGCCATTTGTTTTTCAATTGTTTCTGTGATAGTCTTCTCCGATTTCATCATCATTGTTTCTTCTTCACCCCCATCTAGAATCGGACTTAACGCTGATCACGTCCGCTTTTTTTCTTTTGTTGCAATGGGAATTTGGTCTTTGTACTTTCGCACTTTCTGGTCTAATATTTTCGATAGAGACTTATTCTCCATTCGTCTGTGTGTTCATTTCGCCTTCCATTTCGGCTTCTATTTAATAAGTTTATCACAACAATTATGCGAGCTATATATGAATAAATCATCATGCACAAGCTATTTCACTGTGCTTATTTGTTTATTTTATCTTATTCACTTACTTGGGGTTGGGGCTATAATGGGAAAGTACCCAAAACTAAATCCTTGTTTTCAGTATTTTATCAGAAGGATGTTTTGCATTGCGTGTGGTCTTAGTTGGTTAGTTTTTGTTGCCTTTAGAGATGGGCTCTACAAGCAGGCGACGTGGGAGTCAACAGAACAGATCTTCACAAGCGCAGATGAGTGGGGCTACTCATGAATGCAACGTGTGTGGCAAGATCTTTCAAAGAATGGCAACATTGGAAATACACATGCGAACTCACACAGGAGAGAAACCATTTGCATGTGGAATGTGTGAGAAGAAATTTAGTCAAGTAAGTAGTCTTCGATTGCACGAAAGAACCCACACTGGAGAGAAACCATTTGCTTGTGTCTTGTGCGATAAGAAATTCAGTCAACTAGGTAGTCTTAGAGTACACTTAAGAGTGCACACTGGCGAGCGACCTTATTCGTGTGGTACATGTGGAGAAACGTTTGCCCTACTTCAATATCTGCATCGACACAGGGATACCCATAGTGGAGAAAAGCAATTCGCATGTGATGATTGTGGCAAACGATTCTTTAGGAGAAGTGACCTTGAACGACATATGCGAACCCACACAGGAGAGAAATCAGTTGCATGTGGAATATGTGAGAAGAAATTCAGTCAACAAAGTAGTCTTAGAGTACATTTAAGAGTGCACACTGGCGAGCGACCTTATTCGTGTGGTACATGTGGAGAAAGATATATATCAAGTTCAAGTCTCAGGAAACACAGGAGAGATGTTCACTTTGATGATGAGAGTGGAGGAGGGAAGGCAAAGAAATTCGCATGTGATGTTTGTGGGCGAAGATTTGCGTGGAGAAGTTGTCTTGAGAGACATCAGCGCATTCACACTGCAGAGAGGCCTTACTCATGTGAACAATGTGGCAAGAGCTTCGCTCAGTCAGGTACTCTTAATGCACACATGCATACTCACACTGGCGTGAAGCCATTCCAATGTCACATCTGCCAGCGCACATTTGCTCAATCCGGAACTCTACGAAACCACTTGTTAGGAATTCACAAAGAAAGCATCAAGTCCGAGAATAAACCATTCACGATGAGGCATCGCCACGAAGCAGGCTTAACACAGCTTGTTCCATGCTCCTCGCGGGAGGCGGCCTTTACCGCTGAGTCTGTTTGCGTAGAAGAGTCGCCATTGCACATTCCAAAACTAGAACCGGGTTTCCAAATCAATCCGATCGTATCAATCGAGCAAACCGAACTCCAAAACAACCTGCCTTGTTCAATAAATACTACAAAAACCGAAAGTTATCACGATATAGTCGTTGACTCGGTCACCTCTATTGCCGAAAAAGAATATCCAGTCAAATCGGAAATATAGAAGTCATAGCTTGCTTGCAAGCTGTTTGACCTATAAACTCAGCAACTATTTCCAATATAGTTTCAGTAACTGCTTTTGTGTTGTATTTTTGTTGTCAAGTTCGAGTTGGAAAACTGAATCTCTGACGTTGATATTTTTATATTGCCGCAAATTTTTATTAAAGTAATTTTATTTTCAGTCTTTTCACTTAAAAGTCTGACTTGAGCATCTTCATTTGAAATCAATTCTAGAGATTGCATGTTGTATTGTTTCAATATGTCAAAACTTTTTCAAATATCCAGAAAATTGAAAAACTTTGAAAGAATTGTCGTGACTGTGATATCTGCGAAAGATTGTGTCGACTGACGAATTAGATTTAAGTGTATGGTTCTTTCTGTCTGACAATTTTGGGAAAAATGAATTCACGTATTTTGTAATTCCGAAATGGGCGCCTTTTTTTGTTTCGGTCCAGCTCTCTTGACGTTTCGTATCAATTTCAGCTTGATGTAATAGGGTAATTTAATTTTTAAAAAATTTCGAAATTTTTTTATAGAAATTTATAGATTTTTCTCAATACAAAATAGTGAAATGAACTGACAACCCTTGCAGAATTAATGAAGTGTAAACAGGTTACTAGACTTCTTTTGTTAAATAACTTTGTTTACAGGGTAACTAAATATGGTACTCACGTTCTAATCTTTACTTTCGTCAACCGGTTTCAACAGGTTACTAGACTTCTTTTGTTAAATAACTTTGTTTACAGGGTAACTAAATATGGTACTCACGTTCTAATCTTTACTTTCGTCAACCGGCAGACATTTTTGAGCATGTCTGCATTTCGCATGCCCGCTCTACTCGAAAGCGGTTTTTTATTTTGATTGTAAATTTACTCTTTCCTTATAAATTCAGTTTGTTTTGGTTTTTTCTATTTTTTTTGTTTTTTCGGCTTAACAAAGTTTCGATATGACATACCAGTTGTGTGGCCTCATATTGTTCGTTTGATATGCTAAATGTTTCTTATATCTTTTAAGGGGGCTTGAAAACTTTGAATTTTGTTGCCGTTTTTTTATGCGAACATTTTTTCGGCTCAACGTGTGTCTGGTCATAAATTCATCTCTGTCACCGATTAGCGTAGCATTCAATTGTCTTAATTGTTTTTGTCTGGCATGGTTTTTATAATAACTGATTATAATTTCAGACAAATACCGACAAATATATGAAATCTTCGCTAGATTTTTTTGTCATCAAGAAACAATTCGAAGAATTGGTTTTTGTCTCATCCTCTATCGGCTAATTTGTCATGTTATGTTTTTGTTGTGTTGCAAGTCTTCGAAGCTCCGTTTCCCTCTTAAATTTCTTTCAATGTAGCTTCCTTTTTCTGCAGCTCTGTAGGGTTGCATGTTAATTCCAAAAAGCAAAGTCTCATAAACCGTCCACTTTTTTAGCAAGGGGTGTTTTGTGTTATGTTTTGTGTACGTTTTTTAATGAGTTTTCATAATAAAAAAATAATCGTTTCGCAATTTTTTTTGGAATACTGATTTTTTACTTATTCTAGCAAAGCGCTGTTAATCTTTATAATACTTTAAAAAAGAAGTGCTCATTCATGTTGTCCTTCTGTGCTGTCAATTTTTTTATTTTGTTTCCGAACTTAACCCTTATTATGGGTAACGTGTTGAGACACGAACTTTGAGATCAACAATTGTTTTTGTTGATCTCTCGAAGCAAGTGTATTACAATCGGGAACTATTTTTCCTTAAACGAGATTTCTTATAAATCTGACTTGCTTTTCTTATTTGATTAATTATTGAAGCTTATTTACTTCAGGTTGGTTCCCTATTGGCCTAGATTTAACGCCGCCGCCTCTGCACCCTAAGGTTAGGTTTTGAGTCCCGGTCGGACCTTGTTTTTTTTTCAGTATGTATGTAATTGAATTTTTTGTTTGTCTGCTCAAGTTTTGTCGGATTGGTTGCCAATTCACGGATTTTGCTTGTGCTGTAATCAGCTTTAATTTTAGTTGCAAGTGCGGGTGTTGTTCTGTAATTTCAGAGGGATTTGAAAATTTTGAATATTTTTTCTCTTTTTTTCCGCTGAACTGGTGTCTGCTCAATGATTTTCGGCCTCGTTGCTACATGAACGGTTGTGCTTACGCTGTAAGCGTTTTTGTTGTAGTTAGAAGTGCAAAGACTGTCAATTGTAACTTCAGAATTTCTTTTTTCGTAAAATAATTAAATTAATTTTTAATATGATTTTTATTAAGAATTTTTTCCTTGATTTTTTTATATTTAGTTTTGTGTTTTCGACTCCATTTGCGTCTGCTGAGAAAACGTCGGCTGTTTTTTCTCTTCGGAAGCTTTGTTCCGTTGCTAATTTATCAATCGAATGTAGGCATGTTTGCCTAGAATGAACTTCAATCGAGATATCCGAAAATTTAAATTTACTTAGACCTTGTTGTTTTTCAACATATCGGTTTTTTATGTTTGTTTTGTATCACAAGTGATGCGAAGCTCCGCTGCTTGGCCTCTGTAATTATTTTCAGTTATAATTTTGATATTCATCAGGAGTTTTGCAAACCTCAGCATAATGGTTTCTTACGGAATGGTCTGAATTCTGCATGCCGAGACGTTTCTTGTTTTTGATATGGAAGCTATACATATCGCTGATTTTCTTATTATTTTATTATGTCAGCTCATTGTGCAGAGCAGCTTTGGCTGCTATGATTCCTCTGGTTTTTTGTTACGACGTTGGAAGAAACTGCTTAATGATTGTGCTTGGGGTTGTTTTTTCATTCAGTCAATTTTCGACTTTTTAATTTGGCGTTTTTGACAGGATGTTGTACCATCTAAAACATATTTTTGTCCTGAGCTCAAATTTAGAAAGACTTTTTACCTGTGATTTAACCTGTTTTGTGAAGCTATGGGGGTTTGAAATTGCTAAATTGGCATTATAACGTTTTGACTCTTGTTAGGCAAGTAATCTATTATTATGTTTTTAAATGCGGCCTTCACTATCTCGCCGTGTTTAAGCTTTTTCAAGGTATTATTTTTGCATGTTTAACGAAAGGATTTTGGTACGTTTAAGCTATATTGTATATTGCAATGCTTAGGAATTTTTTTCGATTTTCCAGCTTGATTTCAATGTTTTTTGCCAAGTTTGAAATTAGCAACCAAAAGTTGGAATGCTGTCAAAGCTACCCTAAGGGTTGCAAATTGGGCCTACAAATATGAATATCCAAATCTTATTAGTTTACAAGATAACAATATTATAGTAATTTTTTCGAAATTTTTCGTAAAACTTAATTTACAAAAATTCCACAAAAATTGAAATTCTCAACTCTTTTTTCTCGACTTTTTATGCTTTTTCAAAAACTTTCAAAGAACTTAATTGTAAAAACTTAACAAAAAATTGAAAATCTCAGTTTTATGGTGTGATTTGTTATCAGGGTAATTTCAGGCGCTGAAAACTGTTTATCCAAATCTGACTGCTCACTTATTTTTAGTTTCCAAGATTTGACGTTTCTTATGATTTTTCGAAAAAAAATTTTGAAAGAAATTATAGATAAAACCTTGACAAAATTTGAAATTCTCAACACTGTAATTGGGTGCTGTCAATGTAATATCAGGGATTTCAAATCATGCCTCTAAATATGACTGATCAAATCTTTTTGGTTTTCGAAATATGACTTTTTTCAATTTGAATATTTTCATTGATATTTTAAAGATTTTTCAAAAGTTTTCAAGTATTTTAGATTTAAAAAACTTTACAAAAATTGAAATTATGAACCCTATAGTATGAGGTGCTATCAGGGTCCTTCCAGGTGTTGCAAATTGTGCCTCATCAAAATTTGACTGCTCGAACCTTTTTTTCTTTCGAGATATGACAGTTTTATGATTTTTTTTTCAGAAATTTGAAGAAAGTTCAGATTTGAAAAACGAACGAAGTTTGAAATTGCCAACCATGTAGTCAGGTGCTGTCGAGGTACTCTCAGGAGTTGCAAATCTTGCCTCCGAAGTTTACTGCTCAAATGCTTTTGGTTTCCAAGATATGACTGTTTTCAATATTTTTCCAATATGGGTTGCTGAAATCATTTTAGTTTTTGAGATATGCCGTATTTTATGCCTTTTCTAAATTTTTCTAAATACTTCTGGTCTAAAATAACTTCCAAATTCGAAATACTCAACACTATGGCGGGGTGCTCTCAAGGTACTCTCAGGATGTTTTCAGGACTCCAACAGTGACTGCTTTTTTTGCTTCCTTTTGCGTTCTTAGATATGACGTTTTTATCTTATTTGAAATTTTTGTTCAAAATTTAATTAACTAACTTTCCCTTTTTTTTGAAATTGTCGACGCATGTGCCATTTAGATTAATTTCATGGCATTGAATTTTGACAATCTGAGGGCGTACAGCAATTCTTTTATGACTTTGACGTTATGCTAATTTTAATCAAACTCTTTGTTAAAATTTGATTAAAAAAAGGTTGACCGAAAAATCATACCACCAACATCGAGACCAGTTGGTTGGTTTTTCGATATAATTTTTCTAATATTATTATGTGTTGACATCTTAACATCGAGACCCAGCACGAGACTAACATGCATCCGAAAAACTTATAGTTACAGCATATATAAATGTAGTCTTAAGCACTATCCGATTTGGTGACAGTCAAAGCTGCGATGTCATGAGTTCACGATTTCAAGACATTTTTTATTCAGGCAAGATTTTCAGCATTCTATTATTGACAAGATCACTGCAGAGAAAAATGTGTACCAGCACTCTAAAGCCCAATAGAGAACGAAGTTGGCCTTACTCAAAGTTGCTCAAGTGGTTAGCAACCGGAACACCAAGCGGCTAAATATCCTGGCAATGTGAATCAGGTCATTGAGCAAAATAATGAGATCTTCGGTTGGAACCAAATTGTATTCCTGGCCTTTTTGATGGTAATTTCAAAATTTGACGTGTTTGTGTATTCAATTAAAGCTCAGTAGGAAAATCGAACTCAACTGATTGAGGATATTAAATGTTCAAAAAAGCATCTTCAGTAAATGGTCCTCGTCAATTGTTGCCAGAAGAACATGCTAGCCGGAATATCTGAAGTTTGAAATCCTACAAAAGAGAATATCGACGTGATGTGCAGTTCTGTCGGAATTTTAAAAAAATTGGAAATAAAAACTGGCGGGGAAGTTATTTCGAGGGAGTTAGTGTGACATTAAGAATTAATGTCCGGACTTTGAACTTCGACAATCTGAGGGCGTATAGCTGAACTCTTTTGACTTTGACATTATGCTGTAATATTAGTCAAATTGTTCAATGATAGTTGATAAAATAGTTTGACACAAAAATCATATCACCATTATCGAGGCCAGTTGGTTGGTTTTGCAGTAAAATATGTTAATATTATTATGTTTTGAAATCTTAACAGCATCGGGAAACAGCATGAGCCTAACATGCATGCGAAGAATTTAATGTGATAGTATATATAAATGGTAGTCTAAAGTAGTATCCGATAACCCTTTGGTAGGATGTCAGGTTACTGCCAGTAAACGCATCATATGTGGCCTCTCATTCCAATATTATCGCTCAAATTTTTTCATTGAACTTAGGTTTTAATTATGAAAAAAGAGTCTGATGTTTTAATATTAATTACGTTGGATTATGAATCTCTATCAAATTGAAAAAATTTCAATTTATTTTTATGGAAAGAAAAGCCGTATGTTGCTTTTATCGCTCAACTTTTGAAAACAAAAGCGCTGTTGGATTACCCTCGTCTTTTTTTACGGTTGCATTCATTTCGCTGTTTTTTTCCATACATTTTATGTATAAGCAATTTTTAGGTTCAATTTTCTGTTTGAAGCATCGGAGGTGCGTTACATGCTAGTTTGATCTTATTTATTAGGATACGAAGTGCTTAAGTCATGCTTTCGTACTTTAAATAAGCGTGTGGGGGATAAAATGAAGAAAAAAAAGATAAATACTTAACCTGATGTACGAGCAGTCTTGTTTTTCATTCGATTGTCATCTGGTTATTTTTTGTTGATTGTCTTATAATTTAATTTTCTATGTGGAGGGAATAATCCATAAACTTTGAAAATGGCGGACACTTTTTTATAACAATCAAAGTTTTTTAAACAGCATATAAACGACTAAAATTTCTCGGCACGTTCCATTCGTTTCGAGTTTTGAATTTCGATCTTGTCGCATATCTTCTCGGCGAGCATGGTGCAGACGGACACTAGAGGGCCACTGGGTGCATCTGGGATGAGGGAGCTGTCAATCACTCTCAAGTGGCCCACTCCCCACACTCTGCCCTGGCTGTCAGTCACTGCCAGGGGGTCCGAGTAGCTCCCCATTCTACACGTCCCACTGTAGTACCCATGCGATGACGTCATCTCTCTTACGTAATCCTCCAACTCCTTGTCTGATTGGACATTGTTGTCAGGCAGAATCACAGTCGCTACATCGTTCGACAGAACCTAAACATCAAATTAAGCTTTGAAGCTTTTTAACTATGAGGGAGCAAAAAACAATCGATCTAATCTGCTCTTGATAAGTTATCTCTGATGCACCCTTAGCCGAAAACATAAGGACATACTTTGATTGTTTTTTGGATTAGGAATGGTTTCCTCAATCTGAATCACTGCTCATTGATAATGAGTTTCGAGCTATCTACTTCATCATGGTTGAAAGGCGGAAATACTAGCAACGTCAACAATGCCCCCATATATGTATGAATGTTTGATGAATGATTGTTGTTAGGATTCAGTGTTCGTAGCGAATCATAGGTCGTCATGGTTTTTTTCAGAAAAAAAGTCTTAGAATATGATCACGCTCAAATTTGATTTTTCGCGGTTTGACTTTTGGTTTTATTTTAATTTCTCAGCGGAAGAAAAAATTTACCTATCAATCCAGTGTTCTCAAATTGGATTTATCTCATCAAAAATTTTGCTTTGAAATTCGAAAAGCTGGTCAAAACTTTTCTTCATTGAATTTTTCAACTGTCTTTTTGCTGTAATTGATATTTTAGCTCTTTTAATTGAACTATTCGCACAAAAACCGCTTGAGTTATAAGAATCGTTCACTTTTTTCCAAACTAAGTAGCAAATTTTTTTGTTCGACTATTGAAAATGGGGGAAAACTCTGTATTCGGGTGTGTTTTGGTTTTTTCTTTGTTTTTGTTTTCCAGTCAAATTCAGGTACCACTAATAATCATCGGTTATATCTCACAATAAAGCCCTTTCAGTTGTTATTCGAACGCCATAAAGATTTATTGTGGGAATCAAAAACTTTCAAATTTTCTTTTCAAAATTCAAAAAATTCTGCATACTGGCTTGGTTTTTAAAACTGAAAGTGTCTTTACGAAATTCAGTTGGTCTTAGATCGTTTTCTGAGATGGTGAAGATAATTGAGTTTCAAAAAGTTATGCTGAATTTTTAATGATTTTATTTTGATGATTGTAGAATTTCATTTTTCTGAAAAAAGCATCAATTGGATCCTTGTCTAAACAATTTGTTCCGACCATTGAAAATGGAGAGAAACTTTTTAGTCGCGTTTTTTTGTTTTTTCCATGCAAAATCAAGTACCACAAATAATCATCAGAATGGCCCGCGTGATTTGTCATATGAAAATTTGTTCAGTCGTGATTCGAACGACCCTAATTTTTTTCAAAGTGTCGAGAAAAATTGGTTTGAATTTTTTTAGATTTAGTCTAATTTCGAGCGAGTGACTCGATCAAGAAACGCTCGTAATATGGAAATTGACTGTTTTTTTTAGTATTTTTGGATGAAAAACTTTAATTTATTATAAAAAAAACTAGTTTTGGAAGTTTCATTTAGCGCTTGTTCGGCAAAAAAAAATGATTTTTCAAAAAATTTCGAAATAGTGTGCAAAAAGTCATGAAATACTTTTTCTTCGTTTTTTGGATTCAAGTGTTGTCGATGATGCCTAATTTACTTATTTTCTACGCGATCGTATAGTTCTCGCATCCCACCATCCGCTAAAAACGACACTACTTTGAAGGAAAGTAAAAACAAAATTTTTTACAATACTTATGAATAGGGTCGGAGTATTCTGTGCTACTTGCACATCAACCGGCTATCCTTGTTTATATTGTGATTTTATCTGAATTAACAAGTTTTAAAAATGGATTTTGCATAAATGTTTTTCGTAAATGATATGATATCATCACAATTCCATCGACTGTGGGTTGTTTGACAAATCTTTGAGTTAAAATAATGTTAGAGAACTGTTTTCAAAAGTAGAAAATATTTTGAGATTTCTATCAAATAGTCAATATAAGTTTATAATAATACTATTATTTCTAATACCAAACTTATTATTGAATCGAAAGTGGCGCAAAGTGGTGAAATAATGATATTGACAATATGAAAACAACTGTAAAATCAGATGGGCGTGGCTGTAATCATCCACTGATCCGTGGCAATGTGGTCTGAATAGCAGAAATAGGTCACACCGGTTTCGGTTTGTCTGGACAAAAATAACTGTTTAAAAGCAAGATAACTTCTTAAATTGCGTAATGACGATACCAAACATGACCATGTTGGTGCGCTTGTTGAAAAACCCTAAATGGAGCGAAACAAAAAATCGCTTTAGGGCAAAGTTCCTTTCACTTTCGGAGAGTGCTCGGAACAAAAGGATGATACCTCGTGATGGAACAACTCCCGTGCCACTTTAACACCCTCGATAGCATTGTGCACGTCTCTGTGGTCAGCCAACATAGCCATGTCCACCACCGGAAGCTCGCTTGCATCTTTGCTCTTAAGAATTACAGATCCCCGACTGAAAGTCTGTGTTTGTGAGGCGATGCAAGTGTATCCAGGCATCTCCAGATGGTCTTTCTGGAATCCGTTGGATTGGGGAAAGGGCGCGAACACAGCGTCGACCATCATGAGGTTGATGTTTGGCTTGGACAGCTGAAAAGTAATTTACATCTCCGATTTAAGCAAGTCTTGAGCAGTCGTAGCGAGCTCATAGAGACTCTTGCATGGTTGTTTATTTTAATGCAGCCGATTATGAAAGCAAAATCTAGCATGTTTTAAACATGAGTACGTCTATATTTATAATTAATTTAAACAATAATAAACAATAGGTTACTTAAACTCTAACTTGGGAAAATTGGAGCTTTACTTTAAAAACTCAACAGCAATTAAGCATTTTATAAGACCACTGGATGATTTCCAGTTTCTTATTTTCATGTTAAAATTACACAGAATGCGTAGAAGTTATTAAATGGACAACCGAAAAAAATGAATAACCCCGCTTTTTGTTCTTAGCAAGGCCGCAATGTCTAGTCCCATGGACTTGTGAGGTCCGGAGTGATCCATGAACCAGTCGCGATTGGCAAACTCTTTCTTATTAGTAGGATACATCCCGTAGAAATAATTATTCGACTTCACCGCACATGCCACCGGAACTAAAATTGGAGCTTGCAAGTTCTTTCCGACACCCGCCAAGTTGCGTTTAGGTTCGATTCCGAGAGCCTCCAGTTCTATTTTTGGACCGATGCCAGAGAGGAGCAGAATTTTGGGAGTGAGTAGGCCACTGGCACACAGGATGACTTCTTTGTTGGAAATTACTTGTTTCAATTCCCCCGTCTTCCTGTCTATGTACTCTACCCCTGAAACCAGAAGTCAATTTGAAAAGAGGCGGACAATATCAACAGCCGTATTAGGATTTCGTTTCATTTGAGTCTCCCCCATCGCAACCCCGCCTCTTCTTTTTTCACTTGCAAAAATGACCAATGAACTACAAGGAATGAAGTGTTTCCCTGAACAAATTTTCATAGCGACAAAGCGTTATTTCCTCAGTTGATTTAGGTTTTTCCGTTTGTTTTCATTTTTATCGGGGTCGTTGTGAGTTTTTTCTGTGTTTAAACTTCTTTTCTTAAATCATTGTGGTCGGAACGTTCTGCGAGTATTGCAAAGGAACTGGCTCTACTTGTTTTCAATAAATTTCTGCAAAAAAACTATCGTCGAGAAAATTTGACCCATCATTTATTTCATGTAGGTGGTCTTTAGCCTTTGATCATCAATCTGTTGTTAGATGTTTGAATAAAATTTGAAAAATGTGTTAACCAACCAGAGGCATATGATCCGTTCAAGGTCACTTTTGTGACAGCGGTGTGACACAACACGTGAAGTGTTTCTCTGGCCATGGCTGGGTGCAGGTATGACGTGGATGGACTCCATCGAACTCCTTGGTATGTCTGAGACTCAATGTGGGCAAATCCCTCCATCTTGCCGCTGTTTAAGTCCCTGCAAAAGAAATAGCATAAAAATGGTTTGTTTTGGCGATGATGAATCCGACGAAGCAATCTATGCTAACCGTCTTTGTAAATGTTTGCAAGCACTGTATAACTAACCAAAATCTCCTCGTCAAATGACGAAAAAAGAATTTTTTAAAAGACACTTTTTTAAGTGTAAAAGAACGAAGTGATTTTTAATTATAGAGGTCTTAGTGATTTTTTTGTTTTTTTTTTCGCGAAAAAGTACCAGAATACGGTATTAATTACAGAAGTGCACGCATATCAGTTCATTTATGAATGTCTATAGGCAGGGTCGGATCTTGGATTTTCTCGAGGGATCGGATTTTAAATAAAATCGAAAATTTTGTGGAACTTTTTTTAGGTCGACCAAATTTATTTGAGCTCTCCCAAATTATTATGAAGACCCCATTTCGACCAAATTTTCTTCGCCGCTGGCAAATTTTCGGGAAAATGCTTGACGAAAATGCTTTGGTAGGGCGCTTTTGGAAAATTTTGCGGGTGTAGAATCTCAGAAAGAAATAGGCGCCGCCCTGAACCCCGCCCCCGCCCCCTAAATCTACCCTTGCCTATAAGTGTATATGCACTTTTATTTCAATTCAAGTTATTTTGCTAAAAGGTTGGAGCTCTCCAATTATGAAGACGGAATGGCGCGAACACCAAACGTGCTCAATTTTGAATTTCGTAAGTAGAGTTTAATTTTTAGATTTCCAATTTCTGGTTTGAAACAATTACCCATTGATCTCTTTTTCGAACCTAGGGTTTGTTTTAAGACAAGAGTGCCATTCAAGAAAAATTCTTGAAATTCAAAGAGCTTCAGCCTGATATGTATTTTCTTCAAAAATTGAAAAATGCTCACAAATTTTAAATCAACTTTTTTTCCGTTTCCTTGAATTCTGTTGGCTTTTTTCAATCTTCTGTTGTCTATGTTAGGAAAAAGGCGGAAGTGTCTTAGAATGTCAAACAAGTGCATGCGACTTACTCGGTCACTGGCCATCCCAGTTGTTCAGCTGCTTTGAGTACTGTCTCTACGAAGTGGGTCCTGGGAGCCTTAGTTAACTTCATGGGACCTGCAGTCCCCCTCGTGTCTCTGTTGCACTTGAAAGTGCACCCCTCCACCCGCTTGAAGTAGGGCGCCACATCCTTCCAACTCCATCCCTGCACGCCTATCAAATGGTCAATACACATGAAGGACATTTAAGAAACTTATTTGGTCTTTCAAATTGTTAAGTAAACGCTGGCCTCGGATGTCTGCTTGCATCAACCCATTTATTTCTAATCTCATCCTCTCCCTTTGCAACAGAATTGGTACAATTTTCCGCTGACTTGCCAGGATGGAGGTGCCCACTTGAAGTCTCGACTTTAAAATTTTGAAGCAATGACAGCGCTCGACCGAAAATCGATCATGTTCGCAATATGGGCTGAGGACAAAGTTGAAATTTACACAATCACCTTCTAAACGGTCGAAAAATTCCTAGATCAAGTACGTCGAAAACATGTCGAGAAAAATGAAACTCAAGTGGGGCCACTTCGAACTGAGAATTCATAAGTAGGCGTTCCACCACCTTTTTTTGTCACCCCCCCCCCCCCCCCCCCCCGAAATAATCTTTTGCTTTTGAATCGCTGAAAATTCAGACCAAATAATTAAGAGGATCTACGAACCCAAAGACTCCCATGAGTCATAGTCGGAGGGGTGTCCCCTCATCCAGCACATGGTGTTGATGCTGGCAGAGCCCCCCAATAGTCTGCCCACATAACAGTAGCTACTCTTGTCCTTCAGTCCCCCCTGAGGAATGGTCTCGATGGGCCAGCTGAACCTCTCGTCCCCCCACGTTTTCCCACAGTTCTGGGGCATCAAAATATCCCAAGAGGCGTCAAGGCCGCCGGCTTCTGCAGTAATTATTTTTTAAAATTGTAATTGAAACTTTAGATAGTAGAATTGAAGCTGTACAAACAAATGAATTGTAGTTATATACGTTTTATGCGCAGATATCTATCAGGTATATAGTTTTGAGTAACAACGTTTTTTGCATATTGGCCGAGTTTTTGAGTTGTTAAGCTTTTCTCTAGCATCTTTTGGAAGAGCTTTTTCTCGACTTATTTATCGATTTCCTCATTTGACCCACTGAGTTAGGACTGGGGTGTATAACTCATAGAGTAATTTCGGATAGGGTACACCGTCTGCTCGTCACGCTATCTTATTTTCGGCCGGATAGATTCGTGCAACTTCTTAGTCTAATACCGATCCTAATCTTACTCTTATACTATCTAGTCTCAGGTTGTTTAACTAGTCTCTGCTAGGCTCAATAGATCTAGGGTATACTGGTTTATTGCGGCTGCTGAAGTGCTCGGGAGAGTCCAACTAATTTCTAAGTTAAATTCAAATCTCTCTGGTGCTGAAATTACAAGTAACTTCAGCACTTACAAATAAGTGGGTTGTTAGTTAGATGGATCATGATTGGTTAATATTAAATACTTTACATTGGTAAAACATTTAATTTATCCAATCATAAAATATAGTTTAGATCAGGTTCCACCCATCCGGGTTTTACAGAGTTTTTTAGAACAGTTCTTCTGTAGTTCAAGGATGGATGATGGACGTTGGTATTTGGCGAACATCATTTTTCTTTTGTTTCCTTTTTGTTAAGGAAGTTCCAGGGATCTGGAATTGAGGACACAAGACGTTGTGTTCTTCTTGTGACAACGACTGAGTCTCTGCAACAGCATCAATTCTGGTTTCAGAATGGTTGGCTATGTCAGGTTTTTCTGTTCTTCGGAGAGAACTTCTTTTGTGTTTGATCTAGCTCGGGAATGGCGTGGAGATTGTGCATGGAGGGGATGCCTGGTTACTCGGATCTGTACGTATACTTGAACATCGAGGTGGTCATTGGTCTAGTTCAATGAAGTCCTTTTCTGCGAAGTCAAGTCGTACTCTAAATCCTTTGAGTTGTGATTGTGAGCGGCATATCGATTGTAGTTGGTCATTCTCTCTCGAGTGTAGTGAGGTCGTCTTGTCTTTTGATGTTCGTCCTTGGTGTTGTATTCTGATCTATATATTGCATCATGTGATTTTACATTTTATAAAACTTTTATTAGTTTAATATTTTTTAATAATGATTTTAGTTAGTTGTTTTCACAAAAGCTTTTTGTTTTAGTTCGGTTATTTTGAAGAGTTACTCACCCTTGAGTAGCTCTTATTAAAAATAAAGGTGTGGTCACAAAGCGTGGATGTAGCGCGGTGGGTTAGGCCGGCTATAGAGCATGCTCAGGACGTCCTTTCCTGGTGGGTTAGGCCAGGTGTGGGAGTATGATTTCATGCGGTTTTTATGAGGAGTCCTGTTATGTGACAACATTTTATGTTGGGTTTGTTGTGGTTTTACTTATGTCTTGTTGGTTATGTACTTTTTCCAAAAAGCAAATTTTTTGTGGTATGGGTTTGTCTTTCGACTTTTTTGTGTTTTATTATCTCTTTCTAAGACTTTGTAATAGTCTTCAAAAGAATAAATTATCCAGTTTTAAACTGGGTTAATCCGGTTTGGGTACCGTTGGTTTCCTTTTCTAAGTCATGCTGTTATTTTATGATTTGTGGTATTTAGTAAGCTGCGTTGGTTAGTTTTGTTTAGTATATGATTCCTTTCCAACCGGGTTAAAGGAAAGTTTGAAACTTGTTATTATATGTTAGAGTTGTTGAGTGTGAAAACTTGAAACTGAAACTCATTATTTTAAACAATTCTTCGTGGGCGAGCTGTATGAGTGTGGATAGAATTTCTGTGCGAATGAATGAAAATATCAAAAGGTTAGTACTGCAATTGCATTTTATTAATTTACTGCATAGAATTTGGAAATTTACTGCTAGTAATGGGGGAATTTTAAGATACAAATTTTCATCATATGTAGATTTATTGCTTTGGGGGAAAATTTTATAAATTAATTTACTGCATTGGTATTATATTTATTTAATTGTTGGTGCAAAAGTTAAAAGGGTCTTAAACAGTTTTGAAGAAGTTTGCTATTTTTTATTTTTCTTTTGTGAATTTTTCAGATGATCGAAGATGAAGGCTAAAAATCTAAAGAAAACATGAATAAAGAATGGTGAGTTTTTTAATATTTTAATTAGTTAGTAATATTCATTTAATTCATACTTACCTGTTAGTCGTCGGGGAAAAAACCGTGGGGGAAGATATCGTGAATTAGTTCTGAAGTTGTTAGTAGTTTAGCTAAGATGCGGATGATATTTTTAGTTTGAAGCAGTGGCCAAAGCAATTGAAGTGCCTTAATAGTGGTTAGTTCTTCAGTGCCTACTGCAAACTCATAAGGTGTGTTTTGGATTAAGTTATATAATTTGTGGTTAAATTTAGTGTTGTGGATGAATTCTAAAATGGGGATTTCTATAGGCTGTACAAACTCGTGCGGGATAAGGAAGGGTCGGGATTCTTCGGCGTTGAAGGTCTTGGTGATGGGGCAGAAAATGTACATTTGGGTTATGGGGTCATAGTTACGAAGAATACCATGAAGGTTAGTATCTTTAATACAATATGTGAAATTTAGGAAATACGGTGAAGTGTATTTTGAATTGATGAATTGAAAGCGATGGTGTGGTTGTCTAGATGGTGTGTGGAGGTCAAAGTGATTTTGGATGAAACGATAGTAACTGTATGTATGTGTTTGTTTAGTTCGCAACATAATATCGTGTGAGCAGTGTAAATCTCTTTCGTGTGGTGCAAGGAAATGAAAGGTTAGTGAAAAGATTTGGAAGCGTTCTTTAAAACTTTCGTACGCTTGTGTGCTTGTTAGTGCTTCTGAAATAATGTGATCAAACTTTCGGTCGAAGATGTTTAGTGTAAATACATATGGTGTCTTGATGAAAAATTTCTCGGTGATTTGTGGGTTAGCGAAGCGATCGTCGTCTAAGAATTGATCTTGGTTAGCTCTGATGATGTTGTGATCGTAGTATTCTAGTGTATATTCATTAGCTCTAGGTGCAGTGTGTATTTTTAGTGATTTTTTATATCCTACGTAAGTAAATTGTCTAGCGGTGAGTGGTGTAGTTAGTCGATATAGCATGTCTTTGTTTCGGTCTATATCGATGGATGTGTTGGTTAAAGGTAAGCAAAGAGGGTTAGTGAAATGATAGTATGAGGTCCAAGAGAGAGTGGGCATTAAAACGTATTCGTCTACAAAGTTGCGTGTTTCGTTAGCGTCATGAGGGGTGTTTAAGGTGTATTGTGGAAATGAGGGTAAAGTGATAGCTAAAAATTCTCTAGTGTTAGTATGCTGGGGGTGGTTGATGTATTCACGGGCTGTTCCTGGTTTTGCTGGGAAAGGATGGTTGGGGAACTTTCTTTTAAAAGTGCGGTAAGCTCTATTAGTGTTGAGTGAGGATTCAGTTGATGTGGATGATGGTGCTAATGATTCAGTATAATTTGAAGAGGGTGTAGGGGGATTGGATGAATTTGTAGTGGAGGAGATTTGGTTTATGGTCGGGGTGTTAAGGTGGTAGGGTTGTTGTTGGAGGGTAATAAAATTGTCTAGCTCTGGGGAGATTCGGGGGGTGTCTGGAGATGATTGGTCAGAATGGTATGAGGAGTAGGTTGGGGTAACTTGGGAAGCATAAGAGGGTGTCGGAGTGATTGGGTCAGGGTTATTGGACAATATGGGTTGAAAAGGAGGTTGAGAAAACTGAGAAGGGTTATGAAAATTATTGGATGGAGATGGTTCTGAGTCGGCAAATTCGTCGGGGGTTTCAATATTCGGGTTATTTAGCTGTGAAATGGAGTATAAAACTGAAATTTGTGAGTTAGTGTCGGAATTCATGCCTGATGTTACATTGCTAGATGGAAAATCGGGTGGCGGAAAAGCAAAAAGTGGTATTATTGGGATTGAAGAGGTAAGGTTGGTTGGATGGGAATTTGATCGATGGAGTGATCCAAGTTGGCGGCTCATCGTGGGCTAAAAAAATTATTATTTTGAGATTGAAAAGCGGTGGTATGTGGTTGTTCAATAATTTGTTCGTAAGTATTATCATCTTGTGATTGATGTGTCATTATATGTTGGACGGGACTTTGTGATGTGGTGAGTCTAAAGTTTGGATTATGTGTGATTGCTAAATTTCTAAAATTTCGTGGGACTAGGGATAGTGGATGGTTATTTGGTAGGGGTGGTAATTGTGGTGCCGTTGGCTGTGGGTCGACATTGTTATGTTCTTCGTCGTATGTATTTTGTCGTGTTGTTATTTTTGTGTTATATTCTTTTATTTGTGCGTCTAAAAGAATTTTGTTTATAGATGTGGAAAAAATTCCAAAAAATCCTGCAAAAAGTATGCGTGCTACGCTTGCTTGTCTGTTTACTTGTGTGTGTATAGCACATGTATTGTAGATTCCTTTTAAGAGTGAGAAAAGAAATCCAATAAAGTTAAACATTGCGTATAAAATAGTCAATTTTTCTAAGATGTAGTAGGGCCATCCTAGAAAATCTAGGATCTCATTTTTGAGTGTAACAAAGCTAAAAATGTTAATTGGTGATATATCTTGGGGACGGTATTTTTCGCCGTTTAGATATATATAATCTTTAATGTCTTTAAAATATCCGCTATAGTCTTGCGTGTAGATATCGGCAAATCCTGCAGTTTCTGCAAGTTTGCGTAAATTTTGGTCTATTGATTGTCTTTGTATAGTGTCCATTTGTGTTAATAATTCTTGGAATTGTTGTGTTCTAATGTGATGTTGAATATCTGATTTTGAATAGATTCCTATTGATTGTAAGTCTATATTTGGGTTTCGAGCAATAGCGCGAATGCTTTCTGGTGAAAATTTTTTGAGTGATTGCATTAATGTGGGATATGGAGTGAGAAGATAATATTTGTTTTCATCAGGGTTTAGTTGTACTACATTGTGGCTATT